CACGCCTAAGTCTTTAATTAAACTCTCTTTATTGTCCGTTTATTAGACTCGGGGCGCACACAATAGAAATGCTCATTACAAACAGTTAGAATATTCTGAACTCTATAAACGAACTTGAATTGAATGGTTCATTTTGTGTATAGCAGCTGTCGTTTTATTTTAGTCATGTTAGATTTAAAATACAGAAACACCGTTTAGGCTGCAGCATTTGGAAGTGGGCAGCCGCGTGTCTACAATATATATATCAAGATTAGATAATACAAAGATAAACACTGCACACGATGTTTGAGGCATCATGAAAAGCTTTCAATGAGAATCAACAACCGATGCACGAGTATTGAACGGCTATGACTGGGCAGGACTTCAAAAGTTTCCAACGGTCTGAATAAAAAAAATAACTATATTTCGACGATATGTACCTGGAGAAAACTATGAAAGTTTTAGGTGGTGGTCGCTTTCTGAGAAATAATGGTTTACAAAATTCGAATACATAGTTACTAAACTAAAAGCTGATGATTTAATAAAACTGCACAAAAATGTTGAGGCATTTCGCTGCGGGACGTGCGACAAGAGGCCGCGTTTAAAACTGACTGACTATAACAATGGGAAAAATCTATATCGCATCGGTGGCCGATAAAAATTGATTAAGATCGCGAACATTCAACTTTGTAATTATAAAACTGTCTGTAAGTATTACAAATGATAAACCTGTACTTAGAAATAGGTTAAAATAAATTTGTAGATATCAAAAGTGTACGTTGTAAACCTAACGGCAAGGTGTACATTAAAAATGAAAACATGTGCCTGGATCAGGTTTTGTTTTGCTTGAAAAGGTGGATGAGCGCATCGAGGACTTAAGAAGAGCTTGGTAGACATTTCCTATTGTTGAGCAGCCGGTGCACTGCACGCAAAAGTGGGCAAGGGAATGGTTAGGAATAATATTTTCAATGGAGGAGTTAAGTTCGGGGTACCAAATGAGTCGTCGACGCACGGAGGTACTTTAGTGGTTACGTTACATGGCATATCATTGATGTGGCATTATAAGAAAAGCGTTTCAATGGTCGGGACTTGCGGGACGAATGATGACACAATCACATTAAAAGGATATTAAAGAATTGATACTTACTTATTTGGAGTTCTAGGAATAAACTTTAGATGTCCCGTTGAACAGGCAAGGCTTGCTTAGCATGATGTTAAGTTTGGAAGATCATTATTATTAGACACTGAACCAATTTATACATTGGGTTAAGTGACAGGTATTAAGTTATTCATACTTCAAGCTTCACATTTTTGCATGATTATAAAGATAATTCCAGAAAGAGCACCGGCAGTTCTACCCGTATTATGCGTAAAAGAGTAATGTGCATGAGACTGACACTTTATTGTTATCCCAGTGGCGCGTTCATGGTAGAAGCGCTCACATCACGCTACCAAGATAAGGGCAACATACCCATCATGATGATTCAATTCAATTCAATTCAATATTTATTTTCGCGTGCTTAATAACAGCTCAAAGGCCTTTGCGGTAAATCACGAATAACAAAATACATATTCATCAGAAATTTACATGTTTCAAATTATGCAGGTAGTTTAATACCTTTTATATTCTTACATTCTCTAAACATAAGCTTGATTAAAACTGCAATTGCGACATGATCGACATGGTTATTATGAACTAAACGTTGTTAAATGCATTCTATTTAACTTGCCAATTATTCGCGGCGGTTATCATTCCACCTAATGCATACCCAGTACAGTGAACGCTGAGTAAATATGAATACTCATTAATGGTCAAAATAGATCTGTATGTAAAATATAGAAATCAAAACAAACGTTCTGTATATTAGGTATTTAAAGGACGATACATTTTTTATATAATAACTGATATAAAAATGCATAATAAGTTTATCTTTATTGCAGTACTATATCATCGGTCATCAACTCGCAATCAGCAGTGTGCTATGTCGACGTCGTGTCTCGGTACCTGACCGTGCCAGAAGACAAAGCCATCAAGGTCACAAAAAGTCTTGGTGAGATATCTGGGTTCAATTATATGTCCCCTTTCGTCTAACAGCTGCGCAGGCTGGTCAGACAGATGGCAAGGAACAAGAAAGTACAGTTTTGCATACAAACTCGATTCTCCAAATTTAGTTCCTTATTATTGTTTCAAGGGAAAGCATTTTAAGGCATTCATTTTCGCCTTATGTTATTGTACCAAGCAGACAAACCCGAAGGAACTCTCGCCAAAGAGAACCTCACCAACTATTTTGCCGGTCCGAAGAAAAGCTCACTTTCTTTGAACAAATTAAGAGAAAAGCACACGGCTGATCCAATGTCAATATAGCAATAATGCGCAAATCTCGAACGTCTCCAAACTCATATTGAAAAGAAGGTGATTGCTGTTGATATAAGGCGATAATAAAACTACTACAGCAGGCACTTCCGGCGCGTACAGAGTGCATATTTTTAGAAAAGCTACTTCCCTGCAGCTTTCAATTCACGTATGGATCGTTTTCGTGGTACTGTTGACATTATCAACTCTGCGTACACAATAAACATATGCATTATAAATTGTATTTATTTGAAATTTGTAATTCATATGAATTCAAATGTTTTATTATTTAAATTAAGTTTTTATCTATGCTGATATTTGCCTAACTTTTGTAGAGACGGCTAATGCGCTATAAGAATAATGTGACGAGATATATGTAATTCATATTTATCCCAGTGTGCAGAGGGAATCGAGGATAATACATAATTGTAATTGTTTTCCAGGTTATTTTTTTAAATATGGGGTGCAGATAATCCGCTTCTGCAAAGACTGTGTGGGTCGTCTAGCTGACTGATGAAATAAAATGGAAAGGGGGGCACAAAGATGTGTAGATAATCCCTTTTCCCTTTTTCTCATAAGGTTGTTGAGCCTGCCTATACATCAAAAGCTTTGGCGTTCGGGTTGTTTTTGTGTTTTTTTTCTTTTCCGGTGAGCGTTTTTCGATTCGAAGAGTTTGGTTCTCCACCAAAAACTTGACAACGTATCACAAGCAGTGTTCCTTCTAAAACAGTTCGATTGCAATACGTTTTTCCCACTCTTGAGACTGCAGGCCACAGGACATGTCTTAAGAACATTTGTCTTAAAACGATCTTAATGTTGAATGCCTTGCATGCATGGTGTGCATAACGATCTCCACGGGCGATGAAAGTGGCGTTTTTCATGCGGAACAATTCCAGCTGCTTTTGTTTTCGCTTTCTTCAATTCGCTGCTGCATTCCCCGAGTGGGTATCATCGTCAAGCTTCATGAAAACTACGTTATCCCAAAAAGATAATTGATGTTCACTTTATCTAATATAACGTTTTTTTTTGTTTTTTTTTACATAGTACCATAAGTGGCCTCTGTAGTATTATCTTGTGACAATCGTTCACAAAAGTATATTGCTTGAGCTAGACGGTGTGAGGAAAGATTGACCAAATTATACTTTTAAATATTTACCTACAAGTTTTTCTATCACGCATCCCACCAAACGAGTTGCCAATCAATGACGCAGGTACACTGCGCAACGCAGTTTGGTGTTGGTGTTGGTGGAACGATTGTGCGAGACGTTGAATCTGGTAAAGAAGGACACATATACGTTTTTTTTTGTCTCTGTGTTGTTCTTGTTGCTTTTTTTCTTTTTTTGCTGAAATGTTATTTTAAAACTGTGGCGCCGGTGACCGCGCCTGTTGTTGAAGAAGCGAAAATATATACGCTGACTGTACTGTGGAGGCAGGGAGCGCATCTACAGAGCAGTTCGGGTACACTTTAGGCAAAACAGTGGGGAGGCGAGGGAGCCTGTCCGTACAGCGCAACCACGTGCGAATTCTGTAACTGCGGCTGCAGGAGGGTTTCGTGGGGGAGAAGGGGGGGGGGGGGGTAAGTAGGAGAGAGCGTTTTCCCGGCGATCACGTGGGTTTTTCGAAACAGCGGTGACCTACAGGTTGTGAGGGGGGAAGGCGGGGGGCGATACAGAGCCTTGCCCGTGTGTGAGGAACCACGGAACGACTCCTAAACAGCGGTGCCTCTGCTGCTTAGGAGTGGTTTTGTCTTCGTACATGAGCGTTTTTGTCGGGAACGGCTACTAACAGCTACCACTGCAAAAACCAGTAACACAAAATTAAAAAAAAAAAATCATTTTATGCTACCAGTAACGTGCTCTCTAGATAATAGCCAAGATGGTCCCGGGACATATATGGGATCATGATGCTATGTGTACGCACAATATTATACTGGTTTAGGTGAGTGTATGGTTCGATGCACATAATCATACTGAACTCGTCGAATTCATCTAAATGTCTACGTTTGCATCACACTCATTTTGCATGGACGAAGCTAGTTCTTGCTTATGTCGCGTTGTACGTGTTTTATGCGCATATAAATTAAAGTTAAACTCGATTCCAGGGCAAAAAAAAAAAGGGATTGGGGCAAACGCCAAGCTTGTTGAATGTAACCTGCGAAAACGGATATTTCTGTACACTTCTAGAGCGGAGCTCTTAGGCGCCAGTTTCCCGTTTGAGCGGCGTCGCCGTCGCCGTCGGCGTCGGCGTAACCGGGCTGTGACTATGGGAAATGTCCCATAATGCACCGCTCGGGACCCTCATCACGTCACGCCTGACGTCACAAGTGCTTCCCGCGGGGCATTATGGGAAATTTCCCATGATGCAACGCGCGGGGAGGAGGAGAGGGAGGAGGACGAGGGGGAGGGGGAGGAGAAGGGAAGGAGGATGAGGAGGACGAAAGGAGGGGAGGAGGAGGAGGGGAGGAGAGGGGAGGACGAGGACGAGGAGGAGGAAGAGGAGGCAGAAGGGGAGGAGGAGTAGCAGGGACGGTGAGGAGGAGGGAGGAGGGGTATACCCTGCCCTCAGTACCCTTCTCTCCACCTCCTCAAGAGCTGCGCTCCAATTGGCGTTACAGCGTGTTGTAAACGTCTTTCATTTTTTTTCGACAGCATTTACTATCGGCGGCATCATGACAATATACAGCATTGCGGTTCCATACATGGGCTCTGCATCAAGGGTATGTTCGCTTCACCTCCGTTTCTACGTTGAGAGGAAACAAAATGTAGGTTTCATTTGACTGCTCTTATGAGTTTGTCTTCCTTGCTTTTCTCTTGACCCTACCTCAGGCATAATCCTAAATTATATCTTGCAGACAGGTATACTTATGGAGGTCTGAACGCTTCAGCTTACGTGTTCCTCAAGAAAATGTAAACAAACGAAAAATATATCTAAGGAACACAATTATATTGTCCGGAAAAAATTGCCGTATTTGTTTTCCTTTCTTTTCTTCATCTGTTTGAAAGACGTTAATGCGTTTTAGAGAACCGTCATTAAACCCTTCCGTTCATTTGTCCGTATTTTTGTTCATCAGTGAAAACTCTTTCTCGCTAAATTTAGCCAAAAAGATTGAAATTTTGTATAAGCACTAATTTGCGTCCCATGACACCACAACTCGAGACCGCGTCTTCACGTCACTTGACCATGTCACGCGACGTATGGTCAAGTGGAAGTGTGTGCTGGCACGAAGCACCGTGACGTTACTCGACCTGACATCACGTAATTCCGTTATGTGACGTAACGTCACGGCACCTCGTGTTCTGTTCATAATTGACTCCAGCTTAAGTGACCTCATGTCACGAGACGAATTCTATACTCTATTCACCTCTAAGCTGAGACTACAGTGGAGGCTACGCCCTCGTTGGACCAGTGAAACGTCCCTCTTTCTCCATGTGATCACGCTCCCGCCCCTACCCCCTCGCAGGGAGCCAGTTCAGGCGATAAGTGGGAGGCGGATGATTGGTCCGGCGGGCACGGAGCTCCCACCGCACTGCCAGCTTAGGGCTGAACGGAGCATACTCGACACCATGCCCATAGGATCTGACGACAAGTGATTTCGCAACGTGACACCATATCTCGACACAGTGTCGTTAGTTTACGTGATGTCAGTATATCACGTGGCACAACACCATGACACCATCACGTCACGCGACGACCTGACGTGAGCTCCGGCCACGTAACATCACGTGTCGTCAGGTCAGGTTAGGTATGCAATGAAGGATATGTTCTTCGCTCTTCGAAAACGGAGGTGCAACTTTTTAAACAGATATAAACCATCGCTCTTTAAATCATAAATTAATTTTATTATTGAGTCTTCCAAGTACGGGTATATTTTCACAGAGGAATAAACCTGGTATGTTAAAGTATAACAAGCAAGCAGACAAGAGGAATCTCTACTGCAATACCTTCTTTCTGTGCGAGAAGGATGGAGAGCTTCCTCCTTTCTGCAGGGAGCATAGAGACCCTCGCCTGGGGCCATAAATCGGTAACAGAGCGCAGGAGGGAATGGAGAGAAGGGAACCGGGAACCGGTCTTTTTCCCGGCAGAAGATGATTCTGTTGGTTGGACTTTAGAGAGATACTGAACCGACATTTTGAGCTTACAAAACAGGGCTGGAGCGATAGGCGGGACGCTGTAGAACCCAAACACACCACTCATTCAGTGATATCACCAACCGCTGAAAGTATTTTGAAAAGAACTGTGCGATTGACCACCACCGATAAGGCTGACGAGAAATGTGACGATGCGATTCTCACTCCCCCTCCTCCCTGCTTCGTCCCCTCGAGTTGGTGAACCGAAGTGAGGAGGACAGACCTCCTCTTTCCCAGCTGTTGCAGGAGAATCGTGACGTCAGAATCATGGCTTGATCGCGCCCTTCTTTTATAAACATACGGCCCATCCATTTCAGATATTCATGCATGAGTGAAAAAAAAAACTATTTCGCTTTACAACGGGACTATGGAAATATTCAATGAGCATCTGTGTGTCACCTTCTAACAATTTTACTTGCTGCTCCATTTTTATTAATTGCCGTCATATATTTGTTATCCTTGTATAAGCTCTTTGAAGAGAGGCCTTGAGTTCTATTTTTAGACAATCTAAATTTGGAAGCGTTAACACCTTTGTTTAGTGTCAATACATGCTAAACGATTGAGTCTAATGTTTACAAATTAATTTCATTGTTTCTCAAGTGTTTTATACGGTTTTGCAGATCATCATGATGGTTTACAGCGCTGTAACAGGACCATTTGTTGGATTAGTTATAATGGCCCTGATTTTCCCCATTGCCAACAGTAAAGTGAGTTAAAGTTTCCGATATATTCATTAAACAGTTATCTAAGCGCCGTCAAGGATTCGTTTTTTTTTAGAGCGCAGCTCTTAGGGGCCCGTTTCCAGCTTGAGCGGCGTCGGCGTCGGCGTAACCGCGCGGTGCATCATGGGAAATGTCCCATAATGCACCGCGCGAGCCCCCACCGGGGTCCCGTGACTTCGTGGGGGGGTACGTGACCCCCCGAGGTCACATGACCCTCTCCTCGAGGTCACGTGACCCCCCGAGGTCACGTGACCCCCGCCGATGTCGCGTGACCCCCGATGACGTCATCGACACTGATGACGTCACCGGCATCCACATCGTCATCGTCATCATCACTGATGACGTCATCATCAGTGATGATGACGATGACGATGCGGATGCCGGTGACGTCATCAGTGACGATGACGATGTGGATGCCGGTGACGTCATCAGTGATGATGACGATGACGATGTGGATGCCGGTGACGTCATCAGTGATGATGACGTCATCAGTGATGATGTCGATGACGATGCGGATGCCGGTGACGTCATCAGTGATGATGACGATGACGATGTGGATGCCGGTGACGTTACCGACGTCCGCATCGTCATCGTCATCATCACTGATGACGTCATCAGTGACGTCACTGATGTCGTCACCGGCATCCGCATTGTCATCGTCAGCATCACTGATGACGTCGTCAGCGACGTCACTGATGACGTCACCGACATTCGCATCGTCATCGTCATGATCACTGGTGAAGTCATCAGTGACGTCACTAATGACGTCATCGGTACCCGCACCGTCATCATCACTGATGACATCACCAGCGACGTCAGTGATGACATCATCGGCATTGGGGGTCACGTGACCCCCAAGGTCACGTGGCCCCCCAAGGTCACGTGACCCCCCCGGTTAGTCTAATCCCCCTCCGCCCCAGCGCCCTTCCCTCCTCCTCCTCAAGAGCTGCGCTCTAATTCGGCGTTACAGGGAGTTGTAAGCGGCTTTCACTTTTTTTACAATTAGCATAGTTGGTCTAATTGATGTGAATAATTAATCAGAATTGCTGTAGAATGCGATGACACCTTGTCGTCATCTCTAAAACTGCCTGACTTGTCATGTGCTGAATCATACATAAACACCGATTTTGCTGGCGTCTAATGAGAGGAGACATCTCTTTGCAACTTCTTAATATATCGATTACTTCAATGTGCGCTCGTTCGAAATCACTAATTGCTGTCGGTCGTCCATGCGTGGAATTACAAAGCATTCAACGTAACAAACGGTCGGAGTGTAAAAAAAAGATAACAGATGTACGACGATAATAATCGCTAAAAAAAGGGAGCAAGGGGGACAGGGGAAAAATGCACATCTTCAAACACAGCTACGTGACTGGTGTGTCACCGAAAAAATAGGCTTTATTGAGATATCGAAGCAGGGATTTCCTCATTTCCAGCGGAGCGTTCTACCAACTAAGAAAACCCGGAGTTAGACGTCAGTAGAGCAAACGGGTTTGATTAGCTGACGCCGGGTCTAATACCAACAAGGGTGAATGATCTGCATTTTAAGGTTATGTTAATAATACAAATAATGCAGATCTCCAAGCGAGCTGAACAATAATGACGGTCATAATCCCCGGAGAAGGCGAATATGGGTGACAAAGGACACACACAAATCTCCAAACACAGCTAGGCGACCGGTGCGCGACCGACTGGTTCGATACCAGGAACAGGCGGATATTTTCGGTCGCGCACCAGTCACCTATCTGTGTCTGGAGACATGTGCTTGTCCTCTTTCCTCCTTGTTCCCCTTCTCCAGGGATTATTATCGAAATTCTTGTACAGCTCACTTGACGCTTTGCATTATTTGCAATATCATCATTATTTCGAAATGCAGCCGTTCACCCCAAATGATGTTAGACTGCTGGCAGCTGATAAAGCTCCTTTGTCTTCACTTACGTCGAACTCCTGGTTAAATCATTTGGTAGAGTGCTCCACTAGAAATAGAGAATTCCCTGACTAGATACCCGGACCAGGAGGATTTTTTCGGTCGCGCACCAGTCACGTAGCTATGTTTGGAGAATAATGTCTTTCCTTTCTCCCAATTGTTCGCCTCTCCGGGGAGTATTATCCTTATATTATTATTATTATAATTATTATATTATTATTATTATTATTATTATCCAGCTCGCTTGCACCTTTGCATTAATTGCATTACCAGTATATGTAATTGCAGGTCTCATAGCTGTCGCAAGAGTTTATATACAAAAGCTTTGCGAGACTCCCCTCTTTGTGCAGATATTTTTCCTTCTGACTACAATGTTTATCGTATGGATCATAGTACTGATGGTGGGGAAGACGTTTTGTTTTTTTTTGTCTCAAAAGCAATTGAAGAGCACTAAATCTTGTGACCTTTCATGCAACAAAGTTTAGTGCAAAATGAAACAGTGAAACTTAAATAATTAGGCCATTTATTCTTTTGTTTTAGTCCCTAAGACCAGCAAAACGAAGCCGCTCGTGGCATCTTAGAATGCTTGAATGATGTTAGCATCGTAGAGCGTCGTCGTTGGCGTTTAATGTAATCTTCGGGAAATTGGCCGGATAACTAGGCCAGCTTTCTCACGCTGCAAATCTAGTGTTCACTCAACATGTAAGAAACTACCGATAACGGAACTGATGCGTTTGTGAAGTTTTCCTCAAGTTATAGAGGGGCATGCGAATCAACCGTGTATCTCATATTTCCTAACCACACTTGGCTCCTTCGGTCAGTTTTAACAACTCCAGCAGTTAATGGCCATAAGTTTTATCTTTGCGCCATTTTCCGTTGAGGTGTATTCTTTGAAAACAGCTTTAAAATAACGTATCCTATGAAGGAACATCAGATAGCATACACATGTTACTGCCATAATTTAGAGATATCACATTTTGTAAACATGTTAAAATGTGTGGGTTGTTTCAAAGGGAAAGCTTACTATACGTATCGGAGCCATGCACCATCCAAATGTATCAACAAAAATCGCAGAAGAGATGATTTTGGAAAATAGACAATACGCTTATGGTTTTAGAAGTAAGTTCTAGCGGCTGTCAACGATTCGTGTAGCACGTAGTGCATGTATTTCGCTCGCGAAAACGCAATGCAGGAAAATAAATCCGCAACAAAGGCCACCATGACGTCACACGCCGTGATGGTGTGAAGGGATCGCACGTTATCAAGTGTCGTCGCGGTGTCGCATAACGACCAAGTGTCACGCGTAATCCATGGTGTCATGGGATGTCACAAATACAAGTGATGTCACGTTGCCCAAATGACATTAAGGTGTCACATGACGGCATGATGACACGTTACGTCATGATATTACGCGACAATATAATGTTGCGTGATTCGAAGATGTCACAGAGTCACGTGATATTGCCGCGCGCGCAGCTGTCCAAGTAGGCAGCGCGCGCGTGGCTTGAGGGTATTGTGCCTGCCTCCCACGCGAAACTCCAGGGTTCAATTCCTGAGAGTGACGCGTCTTTTATTTAATATTGAAATTTATTTTTCCGGTAATTTCGAGAATCCTCTTGCTTGTTCGCGGCCCGACTGTTCTACGCGCCGAACGTTCTAGGCCGAATGTTCGGAAAACCCACGCGGCTACAAAGGGCGCTCCGCGTGGCAAGCCGAAGTCAGTCTCGCCCCAGCGCTCCATCCTGCGGTTTCCCCGGCATCGACGCCCGCGACGCTCTGCTGTTTTCTTCTGTTACTTTTTTTTGGGGCGGGGGCACAAGTTTGCCTTATTAAACGTTTAGTTTCTTCAGTTATCATCGCCTCAACAATATTCATTCGTGTCATTTTGGTGGAGACGCGGTGTATAGCATTCTATGCCCGTTGAGCGTACCCCTCTAAAGACATCCCGGCCAAGCGACGTACTCAGCCCCGGAAGGCTACCCTTCACCGAAGACGACGAAGCCCGAAGAAGCGTTCGTATCAGAGGTCAGTCCCCCGAATTGTGTCTTTTGCCCGAGAGCCGGAGGAAGAAGACACCGACACTGGCTACTCCAACCGTTGTCCTTCTACCCTTAGCTGCCCGTACGCGTGTGTCCTTCCATGGCGAGCCTTATGAAGGCGTCGAGGACTGGCTACAGCAATGCGAGCGAGTGGCCCAGCACAACCGATGGATGGACGAACAGCGTCTGCAGAATCTTTACTTCGCGCTCGAAGGAACGGCCAGGCACTGGTTCGAGAATCGTGAAACTTTTCTGACGTCGTGGATCGCCTGCAAGAATGCACTGACATGGGCTTTCACCAAACAATATCGACGGGAGAGGGCCGAGGACCTTCTACGAATGAGGACCCATGGCGCAAGCGAGACGATCACCATATGTGTCGAAGATGTTCTGCACCTGGTCGCTCACGCCGACCCTCAGGCGACCGCCCAAAAGAAGCTTCGGATCCTGATGCCAGGCGTACACGATGACATCTTCGGTGGCCTTGTCCGCAACCCCCCAGCCACCGTCGAATATTTCGTCAAGGAACCCACAATCATCGAACGTGCCCTTCAAGCACGGGCCTGCCCGTACCAGTGACTTCCCGGCGTCGCTGCCCTCTCGACTTCCAGCTGCAAGGGCTCGGACCTCCACGAGATCGTCCGGGACGTTCGTGCGTGAAAATGTCACGTAGCTTCTTCCTGCTACCGCAAGACCGGATTCACCCTCAGTCGCCGAGATTGTCCGGGAAGAAGTTCAGCAGGCGCTGCACCATAAGTTCTTGTCAGCGCCGCTCCCAAACCACCGACGCTGAGCTACGCCGCAGCTACACGCGACCACCGCCGCCTGCTCACCCGTATACGGCGCCACCCTGACGTGAACATCCGGCGCCGCAGTTTCCCCGACGTCAGAAAGATCGGGCGCACTCCCACCCAGAACTAGCAGTGCCATGAAAGGCCGACGTGTGGAGGACGGCCGATCAACGCCCGTTGTGCTATCACTGTGGTGAAGCCGGCCCCATATACACTCGATGCCCCTAC